CGGAAGAGCCGAAATAAATGGCCTTTGGCTTAGTGGTGGTTTATCAAGGAAGCTTAAATCCTCCTGTCTTGTGAGCAGAAGGACATAGCATTAGTCACGGGGCTAACTTAAAGGTTGAGAACTTGGTGACAGCTGTTCCCTTGGTGTTGTGCTTCATTTAACAAAAATGTAATGATTTTTTTTTAATCTGCTTAATTTGATTTTTATTGAACTTTCCTTTTGCTTTCAATGAATCCATATACACATCAGTGATGGGATGGCACATGAGGTAGGAGCTGAGGTTGAGTTGAGGAGTCAAGTTTTTAAAAACATTGTCCTTTGGAAGGAGGTGGGTTCTCAACCCTAAAGGTGAATAGACCTTGCTGTAAAACTGCAAAAGTTGGTGGAATGAACAGACTGGAAATCTCTTAAGTGTACTTGATAAATAAAATAAACATTTTATGCCTGCTTGGCCAGCATGCTTAGTAGACTACTGTTAGTTACCAGTTCACTTGGGCAGAAGTAAATCAGTAAACTGCTGAAGTAAAGAAATGGCAAGATTTTACATGACCCTGTTGCCTGAAGAGCTGTTTGCACCTCAAGAGTTTAAATGTTTAATTGTTTTACTGATAGTCTAATGTGTCAGAATAATTTTAGGGCTGTTGAAAATACAGCCCATTTCTATTTAGGAATAGGAAGACTGAAGTCCTATTCACTAAAAGATCACACAATATATCTGAGGGAGTGACAAATTACATAATATATTAAGAATAAACTTGAGATAAATGTGGCCCTAACAATTAAAACTGAAAGTTAAGTGGTATATAGCAAGAAAACTTTGCGGTCTGTTGGTGGTGTTGATTTTATGTAATTTTTGAAGCTTTTTGCTGCCTCTCTCAACATGAAATGGCTCTGCAGAGCTCTGCTCCTTCTTCTGGTTTCCATTTGCCATCCCTGACTGAGATCTGCAGCTCCTTTTGCATTTCTTCTGTTAGTTTGTATTTTGACTGGAAGCATCCTTCCATCTCTTGGAACACAAGTGTCTCTGG